AGAAAGCACTGGAGAAGCAACAACGAGCATAAGATTATGTAAAAAAGGAACCACCTGCAAAAATAAATTTATGACCAGTGATGGATGCATTTTCTTTTTTAAATCTTTTCTGTATGAATATGTGATTTGTATGTATTATGTTACCAATAAATTTTTGCATGTGATACTGTGATATTTGCATCCCTTTTTTTTCTTCTTTTTAAAATCTTAAAATTCTATGATTCAATGTTATTCCTTTTTGTCACCAGTCTCATGCAAATTTTAGTAATAAAGTAATAAGATTGATATATTCTGATTCTGTCATATCTTTAATTTTTGTCTGACATATTTTTTACACAAAATTCCAGATTTTTGAAATAAATTTTCAGCCTATTGATGACAATTACAAATTTTATTCTGTACTCATGGGTTAAACTTTAACATCTTTGTTGGTATGAAACGTGAAGAAAGTTCCCTTTTTATAACTGGCAACATGTTAAAATTCTGTAAGGAGGAAAGTTTTTATTAGGCTAACATTTTGTAACTTAATATATTCTAGAAGTTTTAGTAAAGTCATTTAACCCTTTTTTTCAACATTTTTAATAAAATTCATGAAATTGATACAGATCTTCACTTGTTAACATTTGAATTTATTTTCTCATTTTAAAAGTTACTTGAGAATTCTAATGCAATTTTGTTCCTAACGCTAGGCTTTTATAAATCTGAAATTCATTAGTACAGGATTTCATAAAATCGCTTCCCTTTCCTTTAAATTCAGTTTTACTTTCAACAAACAGATATACTACTAAAGTAATGTGTGTACTTATTTGGCAATAGTGTACACTAAAAGGATGAAAGATTGTATCATTCTAAGGTAAGAGTGAGATATGATATTTCTTCATGGCAATGTTTCATTCTTAACAAAGAATTTATTTCTGTAGTATTGGAAATGATTTCAGGTCTAACTGTGGCATAACAAGAACTTAATCGTAATCGAGCTTAGAAAGATTGCTCAGGGTAAAATTTTGGGTTCGGAAGACGGCATAGTCTCGTCTATCTGAGCTGAGATATTCTGTCTCTGGCTTTTTTTAGCTTTCAATCGGTTGCAAGAAATTTCTAGTAATTTTTGCTTCTCGGGATTTCTGGAAAGCAATAAGAGGATGTTTTTTCTTTTCTGGAGTAGCTTTCTCTTAAAATTTGTCTTGTGTTACATTGCATGGGGAAATACAACAATTTTATTTATAATTCTGCTAAAAATGTCTAACTAAATACAAAATTTGCAACAATATAAGATTTTTCTCCTTTTGGTAAGTTAAAAAATCTTATTGTACAAAAAAGGCGTTTTTTAAAAATTTATTTTATTTTGCTTTCTTTCCTAGCTCTTATGGAAGAGACTATGGTCATAAAAGTTCATAAGGAATTTGTCGTGACAGATTGTGAGTGAAACTGAGACCTAATAACTGAAAATTGTGAAATAATCTAGATATTGAATATGAAGGCTATTTTCTGCCAATATATGCACTGTTCTAAACAGGCAAAAGTTTGGTAAAGTTACAGAAATTAAAATGAAAAGGAAATTGCGTCCAGAACAGATGACTGATTGAATGACTGATCTTATTATAGCCAGACTACCTCACAAAGTGCAGTGTTTCTGGCTCGTTCAAATATTGCCATTTGGGTGCATAACATAAATCTATCCGTACGTGGAATCCCTGAGGGAAAGAGGAGGTAGGTAAGGGTGAGACCGAATATCACGCAGTCAAGGAAAAGGCGATCGTGGACAGCAAGCGAGGTGAGTGTTTGCGCATGTTTTAACAAATTTAAACAGATAAAACTTTAAAATTTATTTTCACAATACAAATATTTCAGAATACCAAATACAAACTAGAATATATGACAAATAATTATATACAATATAAGTTGCAAATGAAAATATTAAACTAGTTAGTTAATTTTTTAGTATAAACAACTTTACTTTAAATTATAAAATTTTATTTAAAAACTTAATTTTATTTTATGATAATATAATAGCAATGTTGTATAATTTTAAAAATTTTGAAATTTTAACTGATAGATAATGAGAACTATTAAATAAAATTAGAGGAAATTTTATGAATATAAAATAATTCAAGAGTAGTTAATTCATTTGTAAGATGTGTTTAAGTAATTTTTTCACCATATATTTGATTTTGTATGACAGTGACAACAAACTGATTAATTTTTGCCGCATTGTAAACATTAAGCTTAGATTTATCACATGTTTGTAGATCTGTGTAAATTTTTTGAAGGTATAATTGTATTAAGTATTGAGAATTTTAATGGAAGCAAATGTCTTTAAAAATTAAGGTCAGTTCATGAAGTTTTATGCTTATTCAAAAAGCATGACATAAAGTTTTTAATGAAAGAATTTTATGTGTAAATTCAAAGGAAATTATTTGGAGGTAAGGTAGAAAAAAAGTTATGCAGCTACTATCTATTATTTCAAACAGTAGCAAACTATTGACAAACACTGAGTGCAAATAAGAATAAAAAGATTAGTTGGATGATGTAATTCAAACAAACGAACAAAATTTTGGATACCTTGTGGTAGCAAAATGAAGTCTGTTGCTGTGTTGTATTCTTTACTTTACTGAAAATATCACTTTTTAGAAGGGCAGAATATAATATTTTTGAAACATGAAGAACAGCTATTCTGAGTAGTTCATAGAAATATTTCGCAAAATGGTGTTTTTTTTTTTTTTTTTTTTTTTTGGTACTTTAATAATGTAATTATATCAATATGCAACAAGTTTACTCAAATAAGTTAAATCTAAAGTTAATATGTCTAATTTGGCTAATTACTGAAATGGAAGTTCTGGAATATATCTTATTAATTGACACTAAAACATACAAAAAAAAAAAAAAAAAAAGCACACTTTTTTCCCCCCAGCTATTTTACAGGACAAATGTAACTTCCAGATGCCTTTGCATTATTTAATGTAAAGTATATAAATGTGATTTAATATAAGGAGCAGCATATCAATCTGAAATTTTAAATTAATCAAAATTCAACCTCAGATTGGTGATAATTTGAAAGACCTTTTAGTAATATCAGACATAAGTTTCTCTTCATAAAACAAAAATACTCTGCAATAGAATAATGTTACTTTTTGAAAAAGAACATATTAATGCTGTTGAAATCACATCTTTCAAATTAATGCTATTCTGATGTTGAATTGGTTAATTTAAAATCCCAAACTGTTATGCTTCACCCTTGCATTATATATATATATCCATACACATATCATTCTTTTACTGGAACATATTGATTTATATATATTTTATTATAATAAGCATTATTTTAGACAAAACATCTATATCTTTATAGACATATCCTTTAATATTTCACCTATGACAAATGTATTTTATACACATAATATCTTAATGGGATATTAGAAGGAAATAATTTAAAATCTTTACAGATAAATCCGTTGGGATTTTACTTAAGAATATTCTACTCACATAATTACTTGCCGTAATCAAGGCCTGCCAGACTGAACGAAGTTCCGGTTCCCAGTTTTCAGTGGCTTTCGCGAAATTCATCACTAGGTGGCGCTCGCATTCTGCTACAATTTTGCTAAATGCTTACTATTTGAAACGTGGCTCGTTATTAACAAAAAGTGTATTTTATTAAAAAATTTCGCTGTTTACTAATAGTAACACAGGATGGTATATTGTTACGTGCCATTTTGCAGTTCCGACCACAGGAAAACCAAAAATATGTCTTTTTTTTCCCTGCGAGGAATCTCTGAAAGAAAGATGGATCAAGAACTTATCTCGAAAAGGTAAAGTTAGTGCTATTTAATGCTTAGCAAATGCAACTAATTGAAAATTGAATGTTGTTCAAAATATATTATATGTATTCAAGTTTTTTTCTAAATTTCATTTGTTGACAAAACCTACTGTGATAAGCTGATAATTTTATTCGATTATTTCGCATGGTTCTACCCATGGTCTGATAAATGTAGAAAGCAATAAAATCATGAAAATGGTGGGCTTTTTTAATTGTAACTGCTGCATACGTTAAAATTATCTGTAGTTTAAAATGTCATATTTCCATCAATTTAGTAATTTCTTTCAATGTTCTTGTTTATTTCCTTGTATCCTGCCTTTACATAATGACATATATTTAGGCTTACTTAACTTTTAAGATTAATAATTAAAAGTAATTGGATAAAAATATCAAGTAAAACAGTTTTTATTGATATATATATATATATATATATATATAAGTACCGATAAATCAGTTTTAATCAGTTCAGAATATATATATACTTTTTCTGAAAAATTTATTTATTAATTTATTTTTATTTATTTAAACATATTTCATGTTTTATTCAAATGTACTTGCTTTATTTACACATTATAAAATTATGATTGAAAATAAGTATTCTGAACATCAAATTTGAAATGATATTTTGAGTAAATTACGCTTATTATTTTCTAATATATATAGAGAGAGAACTAATTTGTTCCTCTTATTCTTTATTTTAGATTCATTTGGTAAATTGTGGAGATCTTCTGACAGATCTATTGTCTGCAGTAGACATTTTGATAAGTCTTCATACAAAGAAGGATGCAAAAAAAAAAAATAAATAAATACTTGAAGAAATTCTCTCTACCAACAATATTTGAAGATTATCCTAAGTATATGCAGCCAAACTTACAGACAGTTAGAAGGCAAGTTAAAAAGTTCAAAGTTTCAGATGAGACAGCGATGGAGGAAAGTAACACAGATGACATTTTACATTCTACAAATGTATTGTCCTCTGCAAATGTTAGCCGAGGTTTGTAGTACGAGATATGAAACTCATTCTGAAAGAGCTTTGTTATCTGAACAAGGTCTGCAAAGTAATTTTCGTAAATGCAAAAATTCAAAATCATCGCAAACAAAACTATATTCACAGAAGCTTTGCATTATGCCTAACCAAGTTAGGGTATTGCAGAAATCATTAGGTGATTATAAATTAAGAGTTAAGTCTCTTAAGCAAAAAAATGAAAAAATGAAAGAATTAGTTCAGAACCATGAAAATAATTTTAAAACATACAATATACATAAAATAAAACATGATGCTGAGAGCCATAACTTAAAAGCAATTTTTTTATTGGAGCACCTATCAGCTTTTGCGAAAAAAAGAAAATGTTGGAGTAATACCGTTTTAAGATACTGTGTAATTTGGCATAGCCAGTCTCCTAGGGGTTATCGTTTAGTACGCAGACTTAATTTATTTCCTCTTCCGGCGCCAGCTATCAACTCTAAGAGCATATGTTGGTAATTCTTGTGGAGATCTGTCTTTGACAAGCTTAATACAACAACGCTTGTTTCAAGAAAGCAGAAGATTAAATTCTCTCCAAAAATTTGGCTCATTGATTCTAGATGAAATGTCAATCAAACCTTCTTTAGAGTATATTAGATCTGGTGACGAGTTTGTTGGAACTGTTGACATGGGAGGACTTGAAAAAGAGCTAGGCATAGAAGATAAACTTGCAAATCGTTTATTAAGTTTTGTTTTTGTAGGTTTATTTACGTATTATCGGCTACCGGTAAGTTGTTTTTTCACTAAAGAATTAAAAGGTGCTGAATTATATAAAATTACTTTAAATTTTATGAAGGAGTTAGAAGATTTAGATTTTAAAGTTATTCGCTTGGTGGCTGACAACAGTAAAGGTGTTCCATGTTCCATGTTAATCCATGTTCAACATGTTGTCTAATTGTCTTGTGAAACCCCAAGTAACTCATCCCTTCAATGCAGAAAGACCATTGTTTCTGACTCTATTTTTGGCTAGAAAATTCAAAATTTGTGGTAATATTGTCTTCTAAATATGTCAGAAACCTTTATGAATTGCAAAATAAAGATGTAATTAAAATTGTTAGAAATCTATCGAGAAAACATGTATACCCAAGTAGTTTTGAAAAGATGAATGTTCGTCGTGCAGTTCAGCTCTTTTCATCTGAAATGACAGCTGGACTTCGGGTTTTGCAAAAGTATGGCCCTTAGTTTGGTATCGGATTTTTTGATGCTTTACCTATAATTGAATTTACGGAAAGAATATATAAATGGTTTACTCTTCACATTATTCAAAATGTGCACTATTATATAATTTCCAAGAGAGAAGATTGTAAACCGTATTTTTGCATTGCTGATGATCGCTTGAATTGGCTCGAAACTGTATTTATAACTTTTTTAGAGGACTGAAAAACATCTTGTTCAATACCAGCAGAATTTTTCATTATGGAAACATATAATGCGTTACATATAACTACATTACCAACAGCCAAATGCGTTAGAATACTTACTTTCAAATGGTTTATCAGTATTAACAAAAAGAATTTTCGAGTGATCCAAATGAATAATTTTTCAGCAGCTTGAGACAAATTAATGGATCAAATGACCAGACAACAGCAGTTAATGTTATTCATAACTTTAAAAAAGATTCTGGTAACTGATATCTTTTCGGCATCTGATTATGCAAATGTGGATTCCAATAAAAGTGTGCCTTCTACATCATCAAAAGAATACTCTAGCCAGGAAGCATTTTGGAAGACCCTGTTATTGAAAGTATATTGAGGAAACTAGAAGAGGATTTAGGTATGTAGAATTTTAATATGTATCACATTATAAGTGTAGTTAAAATGAAATTAATTCAATAGATCAATTCTAATGTCAGTTTTAAATCCTGTCATGGAAATGAAGACTGTATTGCATGTAAAATGTTTTTTGATATATTAATATTCATTGCTAAAGTATGAGCTATTTTTGTTTTCATAATTCGGTCATTTTTAAATCTAACCTCACTAGGCAATTAATACATAGCTAAAGGTTAAGCAATGTCTCAAATAATGTATACAGTGGTGGCCAAAATTGTGGACGCTTTTGGAAATTTTTATGTTTTTGAACTTTGTATGCTTATAGAAAACGTTACGTTTCACAAATGCAAATTGTATATATCATTTAAAGAGAATTTATTACTGAATTCAATACAAACACAAAATTCAATTATTTGCAATACAAACAAAGTTAAACGATAATAGTTATCGAACAGATTAGATAGTGATGATTGCAGCGAGTTATCATACTTAGTAGGGACCCTTATTTTTATTACAGCTTCACATCGACGTTTCATTGAGCTGAACAAGAGTTTTAGGCTCTTCTTTCGTTATTACATGATGCCAGGAAACAATTACAGCCTCAATTAAGTTCCCTTTTATTTGATGGGCGCCTCATTCGGACAAGAGTTTTCAAACGGTGTCACAAATTTTCGATAGGATTGAGGTCAGGACTGTTTCCTGGCCATGACAACAATTTAATGCTCTTTGTAAGAAACCACTCTTTCGATATTTTGGCCGTGTGGCAAGGAGCAGAATCCTGCTGAAAAATAAACGAAGCATTGTTGGGAAGGAGATGTCTAATGGAAGGTAGAAGTTTGGTTCTAGAATAGTGTCAATGTATTTTCTGGTATTCAGTGTCCCATCGATGACATGAAGGCGACCAATACCATCTGATGACATGCATGACCAAATCATAGCACTAACTGGGTTCTTCACAGTTGTTTGAATGCAGTCAGGATGTAGCTCTTCTCCTATTCTACGTCTTACATATTTTCGCCCATCACTACCGAATAATGATATCTTAGTTTCATCACTCTATATAGCTTGTGACCACTGATCATCTGTCCAATTAATATGTTTCTTTCCCCACTATTTTTTTTCGTTGCTGAAAATTAAGATAAGGCTTTTTTCGTGGAATTCTACCTCTCAGTCCAACATATGTAATCTTCTCCTGATTGTTCTTGAACTGACAGAAACACCAGCATCATTCAGATCACTTCTGATGGCCACTGATGACATTTTTCTATTCTTGGAGACATAGTCGTTTTATTCTCTGTCATCAATAGATGTGGTGCACCTTTTTCGGCCTTTTCCTTCTTGTTTTTTATTGAATTTTCTCCTGATATCGTAAACAAAAAACTTTCAGACTCCAGATGTAGTCACTGAACACCACCTGTCTTGCAATTTCAGCATAAAAAAGACCACTTTCTCGTAACACAATAATATTACATCTTTCTAGGTGTCCAATCTACTCTTTATTTGAATGTGATTGCTTCTTGACTAAATATTAAACATTTTTACAAAACTTCCTACTGGTAATTGCAGTGTATAAGAAACAGTCTCCTTTACAGAACAAGCAAAATAATTAATTGTTTAAGTGTAAACATGATGTCAGCTCTACTAGCAGTTACTAAATTTGATTGGTTCTCAGAACAAGACGGTTATTGGCAGGAAAAACTAGACATTACAAACCACTTCATAACTGTGTTTTTATTATATTAAGTACATATAACTTTTTTGTATTGCAAATAATTGAATTTGTGTTTTGTATTGAATTCAGTATAAATTCTCTTTAAAATGATATATAACAAGTTTGCATTTGCAAAGGTAACATTTTCTATAAATACAAAGTTCAAAAACATAAAAATTTCCAAAAGTGTCCACAATTTGGCCCAACTGTATATGACCAGGACTGATTCCCCCCCCCCGAATAAAAAACCTTTATTGTTAATGAAAGAGGTAAGCAACATTTTGGGCTTTCCCCATTCCGCAACACATTTAAGGTCACACTACAGGTCCCCCACTCCTTAGAACCAGAATCGGACGTTCAACCTCCTTTCTGGCCCCTTAGAGAGACAGGCGCACTGCCCAGGAATTCTCCCAGAACGGCACTGGTCTTCATTTGCTACCCACCAGTCGCTCGGGCTGCCTGTCACAGCGGGTCATTACCCAGCGTACCCGGGGAAGAACCCCCGAGCTATATCCTAGCATCCTAGCATGGCGTAGAACTAATAAGTTCTACGCCATGCTAGGATGTGCCAGACCCCGAGGCCGGCCAATAAGTGACCTTTCCCAAAGCCTTCAGAACCACCAAGTTTCATAAATTTTATACCCCCTTGGCCGAGACTGCCTAGGTACAGATCCTAGCCAGTAACTTCGCGGAGTTCTCTACGTCGACCCCCGTAGACGTTTTACAGTTGGGTGGTGGTTGCATGTGCATGCTTTGTTCTCATCTGCCAACATATTTAGAATCCGTCAGACATACATCTTCCCATACTGCAGATGCTTTTCCTCAATGACTTCTACACTACTACCAAAACTCACTGAAAGCATCGACACAAGTTCTTTGATAGTAATATGCTGTTTCTCATGAATAACCATATTTACGCAATCAGGCGTTTGTCGGGGAGACAGATGTTCTCCACATACTCTTGTCAACACTGACAAAAACTGTCCTGGTCATATTTAAACCCCCTTCTTCTTACATTTAAATATAACATTGAACTTCCTCTAAAGTATTTTATAAACAAGCATCGTGCTAAAATAATAACATATTTTGCTTTGCTTCCATTTTGAGGATTGACTAATGCATATAATATTTTTATTTTATTTTAGGTTGTCCAATAGCTAGTATGAGAGCCACTAGTGTGAGTTATGTAGCTGGATATTTGATACGTGCAGCTGAAGAAAATCTTGATTGTGATGACTGCAAGAGTCTGTTATTAGCACAATCAACATCCTCTTCATCATTATCACTAATTCGAAATTTAGACAGAGGGGCGCTGTTCTATCCGAGGATCAGTTTTGTGAATTTGTTGCTATGTCTGGATGATATTCTTAAAATTATTCTTCCAAAATAGTATCAGAATGAAAAAAATATATTAACAAAAATGAGAGCCTTTTTTTTTTTCAGAAAGAATGTGCAATAATCCAATTATGAATTGTAAAGAATTGTCCACGGATCATACAAAAAAATTAGTTTTCTTCCTTTTAACAAAGTTAAATGCTATGCATAACACAAAATTTCTGAAACAAAAGCCATCATCACATAAAATTTTAAAGCTCTAAAATTCTTTTGAATGTTCTCCCCTCTCAGCTTTTGTATTTAAATGAGCGTAATATATGGTTGTATGTGTGTTTAGCTCAATACTTATTATCTGAAAGTTATTATATGTAGTGTGTTATCTAAAATTTATTGTCAGCTCCAAATTTGTTTAATACTTATTACGAGCTAATTTGTACTTAACTCCTATGCTTTTAATTTATTGCATTTCATGCAAGTTGCTGCTTCCTGTTTCTAGTTATATTTCTCTCACAATCCTCAATGAAGAAATGAATCTGTCACTAACATCGTCTAATGTCGAACTGATTTCTGCCGGAAATAGGTGATGTTCTATCAAGGTAACGCAAGATCATGTGTTTGCATTCACAGGATGAACTCTGTATGGATTCAAATGGCATCTTCTGCCACATCCATCATATAACCCCCCACGTTGCCCCTTTGGACTTCTACTTTTTTTTTCACACCTGCAAGTACATCTTGCTGGTGCTATCTTCCATTCTGCACAGGGCATCCAAAATGAGGTTGATCTGTTTGTGTACTCGCAACCACCAAGTTTCTGGGCTGAAGGCTATGAAAAACTACCAAAATGTTGGCAGCAAGTCATAAATTTAGGGACTGATTACTATCGGAATTAAAAGTATTGCTTTCTTGTTCTTTTATAACTTTTAACTTTTTTAGGAATGTTATCTGGCAGAAAATTTTCATTACAACTAGATAGATTTGAACTCACTGCTCCATGTTTTTGGGTTGTACTGAACCTGAAAAAATTTTAAAACACGCCTGTGCATAATAAGCAATACTTATATTAACCTCTTTAAATGAGATTGTATTAATCTGTGTGAAGTATAATGAAATGTGTGAATTATGATGAAAATGTGTGTATTAATGTACTTTAGTTAAATGAATTTATGGTAATAATATTGATTATAAAATGTTTGTGCATCTAACACTTTTATTTTTAAAAACTTTGTATGCAACTTTATTCCGATTAATCTGGAATGACAACGGTATACATGGATTTCTGTTAACTATCTACATGTACTTAATGTGCCAAGGCTTTAGGTAGCACTCATGTGTATATGTGTTTAATAGTGATGAGGAACTATATTAGTATCCATGCCAGCATAAATTTTTACACGTTGTATGTGGGTAAATGTAGAGCTCTATATTAAGGCTATTACTAAAAGCTTTTTTTTTTTTTTTTTTTTTCCCTAACTTTATATATAGGTTTAAAATTGTGTATACAACTCACTGTACTTAGTTTTGAAATTCCTCTTTATGCTTATTTAATTCTGAAATGTTTGTGCATCTGAAACTTTGTGTGCAACTCTATTCTGATTAAATTGGGATGGTATACCTGGATTCCTGTCAACTAGCTGCATGTGCTTAATGTATCAAGGCT